GGATATTTTACATTTACCTTACATCCATTACAGGCAGGCAGAATCCACCCCGCAGAGCTGCTTCCCAGCAAAGCACGCTGAATCTTTTATATACTCGTTATTTACCAGAACAAATGAAAACTCTTAAGATCCATTATCTGTCACCAGAGGAGTCAGACAATCTATTTCCTTTCCCTCCCCTTACTCACCCCACTTCCCTTCACTCCCCTCGGGGTCTCTGAATGCCTCCTTATCACCCACTTTTCTCTTTACCAGGATGTCCTCCCTATTTGCTGATTTAGGAATAAATTGCTATCATTTAAAATTGTTCCATGTCATGTACTCTAGTCGAGCTGAACTGCAGTGTCACTTTGAACAGAGACCAGACAATGGAGTGCAGTGGTTAAAGGCACAGATGCCAGATCAAACTGCCCGTATTTGAACCCAGGTCTTGCCACTTACTGGCCAGATGTCCTTAGACAAGTTAGATGTCTATGCCTCCAATTCCTCATCTTTTAATGAGGTTGAAAAGACTACTGAGGTGGGCTATCGTAAGGAGTAAATGAGTTATAATATGTGAGATACTGCTCAGAAGAGTGCTGTAGAAATATTCCTGCTCATCGGTCCTTGACCACAGAGCCTAGCAACCTGTGAATAAATGGTTTTATCAATAAATACACGTCAACCCTTAGAACTTTTTTTTGCACACATGGTACATGTATAATGTCTACCAATCAGAAAATGCACATAAGACACACAAGAAAACGAAAACACCAGCAAGGCCACTACCCAGAGACATCTATTAGTACTTGCATATTTCATTTGTTAATTAAGCAACATTTACGGACCACCTATTACACGCAAGTCTTCGTGTTTTTGCTAGAGATACAAGGGTGTGCAAAATCAGACACAGCTCTTCCCTCATGGAGTTTACAGTCTACTGGGGGAGACACACCTTAAACAAGTGATGATGCAACTGGCATGAACGCTATGGAGGAGAGGAGCACATGAAGGAGGGCAGTCTCCCCTCACCGTGGAGGAGAGGAGCACACGGAGGGGGGCAGTCTCCCCTCACTGTGAAGATCTGTTGTTGGTAAGGTGTGAAGAAGCACAGTGACACTGAAGTGAGAATGAACTCCCAGGAATTAACTCAGAGAAGTAAGATGATATGAGAGTACCCAATACATACAGGCAATCCAAAGTCCCTACATGGGAGAGGTGTGGTGAATAGACAGAAGAGAGTTCAATGTGGTTGCAGTTGTGTCCGCAAATAAGCTGGTTAAGGCCGGGCACAGTGGCTCACGCTGGTAATCCTAGCACTCTGGGAGACGAGACTGAGGTGGGTGGATTACCTAGGCTCACAGGTTTGAGACCAGCCTGAGCAAGGAGACCCCTTCTCTAAAAATAGCCAGGCATTGTGGCAGATGCCTATAGTCCTAGCTACTCAGGAGGCTGAGGCAGGAGAATTGCTTGAGCCCAAGAGTTTGAGGTGAGCTATGATGCCACAGCACTCTACTGAGGCCAACAAAGTGAGACTATGCTCAAAAAACAAACAAACAAACAAACAAAAAGCAAACAAATGAATAAATAAAATAAAGCTGGTGAGTTAGGAAGATGGCGGAACTAGCAGATTGTCATATCTTTGGTTTAGAAATTATTCTTTATTCATTCAACAAATGTTTATTGTCTATGAGGAGCTAAGAACACACTCATTTTACATAAACTGGGTTTATGCCATATACTGCTTTTATTATGAACAATTTTCAACACTATGTAATAATTTAACCTATTTTTCTTTCTTTCTTTCTTTCTTTCTTTTTTTTTTTTTGAGACAGAGTCTTACTTTGTCGTCCTCGGGAGAGTGTTGTGGTGTCATAGTTCACAGCAACCTCAAACTCCTGGGTTTAAGAGATCCTCTTGTCTCAGCCTCCCTAGTACCTGGGACTACAGGCATTCACCACACCATCTGGCTAGCCTTTCTACTTTTAGTAGAGATAGGGGTCTCATTCTTGCTCAGGCTGGTCTTGAACTCCTAAGCTCAAGCGATCCACCTGCTTTGGCTTCCCAGAGTGCTAGGATTACAGGTGTGAGCCACCATAACCCATCTCTTATTGTTGAAAGTACATATCGTTTCCCACTTCCCACTACTACTAACAATGCTGTGACAAATGTCTTTGTATATGAATATGGATATGTGTCCAAATGTTTCTTGGCAAATATTCTTACAAGTGGAATTGCTGGTTGGGCAAATCTGTAAACATATTTTAATCATAATCTTGGCTGGAAATTTAGCATTCTCAAGGTCAAGGTTTGATGCTACGTGATGTTATGGTTTTTTGAGGTTGGTGTCACTGATACATTTGAAGGCATTATTGGTGACTTTCATTTTCTTCCATATGTGAGGAAGTTACTTTTTTCCTACCAGGGTAACAAAGAGAGATTTTATTTAAGAAGAACAAAGTTTAGAGCACTTCCAAAGAGAGTTAGAAGTAGGTCCTCTGATGGAGGAGAAAAGGTGAGAAGGAACAGAAAGTCTCTATTTCTGATCTTATGGGTCCTTCTGATGGCTTCAGATCACTCCATACTGACAATGAAACATCTTTAACTATATCAACGGAAGCCTGACAATTGTTGACTGAAAGGTAAAGGAAATTAGGAATACCAAAAGGACAAAGAAAAGAGTAAATACAGAAATTGTCTGAAGGTTGGAACTTGAATTTATTGTTCTAGGACTTGTTCTTCTCTACTCCATGGGAGAGGAAAGACTTTCTTATCTCTCTGTAAAGGATCTTCCTCTGGACTTGAGACACACCAGAAGAGAAGGCAACTTCTGACATTCTTTTCCTCTTCTTTGGCTCTTATTTTGTCCAACTCCATCTGCATGCAGTAACTTCACTAACCTATTAAAGATAGATGGAAAACAATTCCATTACAGAACCAGGTTTTCTGTTCTACTGGGCTTGTTCACAGATTCGATCTTCTCAGAAGCCTATGTGGCTTCCATCTCCCCTTTTCAATAACTATTGACATTAAGTTACCGTATAAGGACCCATTTACTGTTGATCATAATTTATAGGAGTCTAATGATTAACACGTACAAATTCTAAGACACGATTCACATCTTTCGTAGCTCCTGTTTCCATTCCTCCTCTTCTCTGCAAAACAAAAACAAAACAAAACAAAACCGTTTCCAAGATCAGTGGGAAGTTCTTGCTAAAGCAGCCGGACTTTGGTAGGCCTTGGAAGGATACCAGGTGTCTAGGTAAAGCTAAGTTTACAATGTGCCAGGCACAATGCCAATCACATAGGTTTTTCCTTTTAATCCTCATAACACTCCTCTGAAGTGGGCCATTTTACAGATTAGAAAACAGAGGCTTAGGGAAGTTGTTGCTCATGATGGGGAGTGGACCCCGTTTCTCTTTGTGAACCGAAGAGATGAGAAAAAGGAAAGCAGGCCAATAAAGAAAATACAAAAAGGGTTGAAAAGCAGAGGAAAACAATGTGAGCACACTAGCAGAACCGATCCTCCTCCCACCTTCTTCCCGCCCAGGGCGTGCCTACAGCGCGGCCAGCGCGCCTCCCAGCGGCCGCCCCCTGTCTCTGACGCTTCCGGCTCTGGGTGACGTCACTAGAGAGCGCCCTGGATCGTCATCGACTGCGTGCGTGCCATCAAAGGCGCCGGGAGAGGAGGTGGGCCTTCCGGTTCTCGCAAAACTATTTCCGGCCAGAGCCGGAAGATGGTCCCGGATGGCCTCGGGGACAACTGTTTTGTGTAGGTGAGCTTTGGGGTTGCCGGCTTCCCGCGCCTGCCGGTCGCCTCATGCTGCAGGCCGCGGCCAGCAGCCTCCGCTCGGATTGGCGGCGCTGAAGCGACAGGGCAGCAAGCGACATGTCGTCGAGCCTCCGCGCCGCCGACTTTCCCCGCTGGAAGCGCCACATCTCGGAGGAGCTGAGGCGCCGGGACAGACTGCAGAGGCAGGCGTTCGAGGAAATCATCCTGCAGTGTGAGCAGCGCCCGTGCGGGCCGGGAGCCGGGCGGGCGAACCCTGCACAGGCGTGCCGGGCGCCGGCTGAATCGGAGGCCGGCCCCGACGCCGTCCACACGCATGGCTGTCGCCCCGGGCGCGCTGCGACTCGGACGCTCCACGCCTGTTTAGACATTTTCCTCCTCACTTCGTTTTTTGTCTGGGGATGATCGTGTAGGGTTTCCCCTGCTAATTTGTGTGATCTTTATGGGCAGGCCCTGTTCGTGTTTGTGTTTTGTAAATCCCAGCAGCGTAATTACACGGTGCTTATGCACTTAAATAAGGCTCCAGAAATATGCCATTTATGGGGTTCTAGAAATGAAACAGGTATTGACTTTAAGCTTTAACTTGCGGAATTAACACCGTCTTCTGAGTGCATTGGAATGTGTGGCCTTTTAACTCCTCACACCTGTTGCCCTTACTCCACCTTGGTATTCTTTCACTGTTTTCACATTTTGAGTGTAGAAATGGCCACTCTTCAGTTTAAAGGTTCCATTTGCCTCTTGAGCACGTCCCTGCCCTGCCTCCCCAGTTTTACCATAACTGATGACTCATATTGGGAGTAGAAATGGCCACTCTTCAGTTTAAAGGTTCCATTTGCCTCTTGAAGTAAACCTGATACATCTCTGGAGTCATACCGATGATGGGATTTAAATAATCGTTTTTCATTGAATTCTGGTGTTAAATCAGTGGTTCCCAAACTTCTGTGCACCTTAGAATCACCTCATTAGTCATTTACTGAATGCTTATTCTCTAAAAGATAACACACTCTGAAAGTCAAATTGGATTGGAAGCTGGATTAACCCCCTTGCTAACTAGTCTGTTTTCACTTACCTCTCTTAAGTCTGGTTTCCTGCATCTATAAAATGCCCTGCTTAATGTAATGCACTGGTTGTCTCATTAACACGAATGTGTTTCGCCATTCAGGATGAGGTCAGTTGAGAAAAAAACATTTAAACAGGGCTAGAGTAATAGAGATAACACCTACCTGAGGGGCCAGGAGAGGAGGTTAACAGGGAGCAGGAGAGGGAAATACCCTTTGCCTGTTCAAGTGTTCAGTGGAAGAGGATTGATATTTGCAGAGATCGTTTCTAGTGTGGCCATGAAACACCTCTTTTCCTGTCATTCCAGCCTTATCAGGCCAGTCAAGTTCTTACCCTCCATCAACCCAGAGTCCCCTGTACACACCCTGCCTCTTAAGTGTAGAGACAAAGGTGGAAAGAAGCTATGGAGGGAAGGGAAAGGCTTCCCTCCAGCTCCAGCCATGTCTTTAGGGAAGAACCTTGGGAAGGACCTCTCTTAAATGCCTCATGTCCTTTGAAAGACCTAAAATTATCACAGGGCTCAAAGCTTTCCTGGGACATTTTTGAGATGTTGTTAGGGCCCTTTGACACTGGTGAACTTTAAGCCTTTCTCTTGGTCATGATGTCTAAGGTTGGAACCACCTCCGTTTGGCTCTGCTAATTCATTTGACTAATACGGATGAAGAGAGAATTTCTGCTCAGGAGTTCTCATTTCAGATGTCAAGAAGTGGAACACAAGACCATTTATGAGGAGAGATAAGCTCTTTTAACAGGAATAATCACTAACATCGACCCTGTCAAAAAATTTTGTTCCAGGTGGCACCTGTGGTTCAGGGAGTGGGGTGCCAGCTCCATATACCAGGGGGTGGAGGGTTTAAGTCCAGCCCTGGCCAAAACTGCAAAAAAAAAATTTTTTTTTTTGTTCCAGTCTGAGATGTAGGATCTGTGACAACCTCCTTCACATGTAGTTATTTTAGTTCCTGTGGTCAGTTTCTTACTCTACATGGTGTCTCTTCCACTGATCTGGTTTTACGCCTGTGTGTCTGTTAACTACATGTTCTTTCTAGCCCCATTTTTCTTTTGAACTCCTACATAAGGTCCCCTGTCAAACGTATCATGTTGAGGAAGAGAAGTCATTTTTCTCCCTAAGTGCTGTCTTTTCTGTACTCAGATACATTAGTATCTTCTACCCAGTTAACTGAGCAAGGAACTTCAGAATTATGTTTGACTTCCTACTAATGAGAATCTGATCATATATCTGCCTGCATTTGCAATTTCTTATTTACTCATTGCAGAAAAATATTACTCATAAATATTATTCATATTTACTCATTCAGAAAAAGTCTGAATTCCTCATTCTCTCATGTGTTGGCTCCAACCTTTATTTCTCGTCACTTTCCCAAAAACTCTATGCTGTTCCTTCTGCTTAGACTGTCATCTTCCTTGAAGGCCTAACTCATATTACCCCTCAACCCCCAAACCAGCCATAAAAATAGGGACTATTTGCTCTACCTTTTTTATAGTTAGCTGCGTTAAATTTTAACTTCTTCATAGTGGGGACTCTCATTTGTATTTATGTCCCTAGTGTGTTGATCTAAAGTAATGAAATTTATCAAAGTATGGTAAAGTTCCCCTTTATTATTTAAAGGTGTATAGCATATGTCATTTCACTACTTTGCTATTGTTTGATGTGTTTTCTTTTTCTTTTCATTTTTACTCCCAACATAGAAACAAGTAATTCTGGTAGCAGAAAGCAATTTCAGCTTCCTTTAATTGGGGGGTGCATTCTTGCAGGTATGTTTCCACAGGTTTCTGTGGCTAGACTGCCCAAGTTTAGGCCAACAAGCATCTAAGGAATGTTCCTGGATTTTATATGATTGCTGCCATGGCAACAAAGCATATTGCCTAGTACTTTGATACCTAAAAAGGGTGAAACCTACCCGTGTCATCTTCTGTGGTGTTTTGGTTTTGGTTTTGGTTTTTTTTGCAGTTTTTGGCCAGGGCTAGGTTTGAACCCACTACCTCCAGTATATGAGGCTGGCGCGCTACTCCTTTTAGCCACAGGCACCGCCCACTTCTGGTTATTTTTTTGATCCCAAACTTTATAAGATGTAAAGTGTACGTAAGTTACAATAACTTAATTTCTGATCTTTTTTTATATAGATAACAAGCTACTGGAAAAGTCAGATCTTCATTCAGTGTTGGCCCAGAAACTACAAGCTGAAAAGCATGACATACCAAACAGGCATGAGATAAGGTATTTGAAACAACCTGTGTTATTTGTGTTTCTTCTATTGAAATTAATCTTAGTTCAGTTTTCACTCAAAACAAGCCAAGGCCAGGCATGGTGGCTTATGCCTGTAATCCTAGCACTCTGGGATGTGGAGGCAGGTGTATCACTTGAGTTGGGGAGTTCAAGACCAGCCTGAACAAGATCTAGTTTCTAAAAACTATCTGGGTGTTGTAGCAGGCACCTGTAGTCCCAGCTACTCAGGTGGCTGAGGCAGAAGGATTGCTTGAACCTAAGAGTTTGAGATTACTGTGAGCTATGACACCATGGCACTTGACCATGTGTGACAGAGTGAGACTGGCTCAAAAAAAAAAAAAAAATTAAAGCAAGCCAAATAACATTTGTGTGTTTTAGTTTTTGTCAGCCCCTCTCAAATAAGAACTGCTAAAATCAAGTAAGTAAAAAAAATTTTAAACAATATATATATACTGGCTGGGTACAGTGGCTCATGCTTGTAGTCCTAACACTTTGGGAGGCAGGAGATGGGAGGAGTAGTGGGTTGTGGCATTGTGTACTGGTAGTTCCAGCTATAGGAGGCTACTGCGCTCTACTCTGACAGCAGAATGAGACCCTTTCTCAAAATGGAAAAGAAGAGTTATCATGGTGCTCTCAGCTTGAGAAATTTCTTAAGGCAAGTTTATGAGGTAACCCTAGGTCAGTTTCTCTTCTACCAGAGTTTGCTTTTTAAAAAATTAATTAGAGGCAAGTATTTCCAAGCAGATTTCATAGATGTTGTTATTATAGGATTGACTGGCTTGCAAACACAAATTACTGTTATACAGTATGAGTCTATTTGATCCTTTTAGCTCAGTGTTTTTCCAGTATACAGAGGGTCCTTAGAATGGTTTGACTTAAACCTTCACGATGGTGCGGAAGGAATACATGTTCAGTAGGAACCATACTTTGAGTGCCTACCAACCATTCTGTTTTTCACTTTCCACACGGTATTCAGTAAATTACATGAGATATTTAGCACTTTATTATAAAATAGGCTTTGTGTTAGATGATTTTGCCTAACTGAGGCTAATATAAGTGTTTTGAGAATGTTTGAGGTAGGCTAAGTTATCATGTTCTATAGGTTACATTTTGACTTAGAGTTTTTAGCTTGTAATTTATTTATCATAAGGGATTTGGCCCCATTATAAGAGGAGCAGCATCTGTATTAGACTGAAATCAAATTAGCAGGTTGCAACAAGCTTTTTCTTTTAAGAACTAGACTAGAAAAAGTGTGGTTTTTTTTTTTTTGTTTGTTTGTTTGTTTTGAGATGGAGCCTCTAGCTATCCCCCTGGGTAGAGTGCCATGGCATCATGCTCACAGCAACCTCCAACTCCTGGGCTCAAGGAGTCATTCAGTAAATGACTAATGAGGTGATTCTTTTATCCTTTGATGGTTGCTGGCTTGCGTTTTTGCTTAGGTATGGCTATTTCTCTTTTAATTTCTCTATAGCTCATGTCTTCTAGCTAGACTGAAGCTTTTTGAGCAAAGAGCTTATTTTATTTCCAAAGTTGTATTTGTTGACTCTTCTCTTTTTCCTATTTCAGTCTAAGTGCCAGTACCTTAACAATTACATTCTTTTTTTTTTTT